GCGTATAAGTAGGGATACTAAATCAGATTTTTTCGAAACGAGTATTGGAAACTTCTTGTCTGTTGTGTAGTTCGATTGTGAAAGTCTGCCTCCAACTCTCAGTAGATCGTAATCCTTGTCAAAAAACGGACTAAGATTGAGTAGTTTCGATGTTTTACTCAGCTCCCTTTTCACCTACAGACAATTTAACTCTGATTTGAAGTGTATTTCTTGGTCTAAGCGAAGAATTAGCATTTTTGCCATGATTCTATTTTTAGGACTAAGACAATCTTCTTCAAGTTGTACATCAGATGTCCGCTTAGATCTGAGCCGCTTCCGATAGTTTGTCGATATTCTATGCTTAAGATGTTGAACAAATGATAGTACATAGCATGCGATGCGTACTGTCTTGTTCCAAGTGCTGTAGTCCTTTAAACGAAAAATTCCATCCGTCATTTCTTCGTTTTGAGCATGATTTGCGAGAACAGTTCGAATTTGTTCACTTTCTGCATTAGTCTTGACTTTGACGGTTCGTTTTTCAGGTGCTTCAACTAGAGATGGTTGTAGGTTGGGCCAGTGCCTTTCATCCTTGGTCAGCCAATCTAGTCCATTCCACCAGAGTGAGGAAGATATTAATGTGTCAGCTAATACACCACGAAATGGCTAAATCAGCCGGATTTACTGATGTTGGCACGTGTTTCCAATCACTTCTGGGTAGGGTCTCTCGTATTTGTGAAACTCCGTTTGCAACAAAAGTGTTCCACGTTCTTGGAAGTTGAGCAAGCCATTGCAAGACAATTGTTGAATCAGTCCAGGCGTGTGAAGTTATCTTGAGATTTGTTTTCCTCAAAATTGAATGAACTGATTTAAGAAGTTTGGTAGCTAAACTTGCACCGCAGAGCTCTAATTTGGGAACAGAGATTGCTTTGACCGGAGCAACCTTTCTTTTGGAGGTCAGTAGATACGCAAAAGTTTTGCCATAATCATTGGTAATTCTTGCATAGATTGCGGCTGCATATGCTTTTTCGGAAGCATCACAGAATACGTGAAGTTGAACCTCCTTTATTGGATGTGAGCTCATAGATCTTGGTATCTGTAGTTCCAGTAGTTGAGGCAATGTTCCGGTAAGCTCATACCATTTTCCTTGGTTTTCTGATCGACTTCAGAATCCCAATCAAAACCTTGGACCCATAGCTGTTGCATGAGACATTTGAAATTGATGATGAATTGTTCAAGGAAACAATATTGAAATTGTGGACAGAAGAGTCCTCTTTGTAAGCAGTTTCAGCTCTGGTTAAGGCAGTTGAAAAACAAAATATGTCCTTATTGGGCTTCCAACTGACTCCTAGCGCCTTGATTTTGTATTCGTCAGAGAAAAGTTCCAGCACATCCGATTTTTCGCGGAGATGTTCTGGCAATCCTTCAATTATTTTAGCATTGCTTGAAGTCCATTTTCGTAGAGGGAATTCATGAGAGTTCAGCTCTTCGCATAAATCAGAGACGAGTCTTGCTGCTTCATGCTTATCATTAGCGCCACCAAGAAAGTCGTCTACATAGAAACAATTTTTGAGACTTTCTTTGATCATTGGGTTCTTAGATTGATCTGCTACTTCATTGAGGCATCTTGTTGAGTGAAAAGCTGACGAAGCTATTCCATATGTAACACGTGTCATCCTGAGATGCTTGATTTCATCCGATTTATTTGATCTCCAAAGTATGCGATGGAAATCCTTCGATTTGTCCTCTAGAGCAACTTGTCGGTACATTTTTGCAATATCTGCTGATAAAGCAATTGGGTAGAACCTGAAGCGCATGATTATCGAGCAGAGGTCGTCTTGTACCATGGGACCAACCATCAAAGTGTCGTTGAGTGATTGTCCGGTTGATGTTGTTGCAGATCCGTCGAAAACTACACGTAGCTTTGTGGTAGTAGAATCTTCCTTGAAAACGCAGTGATGTGGCAGATAATATACGCTATCAACTGGCTTTTCGATTTCTCCAGGCGGTATGTACTCCATATGCCCCATATCGAAAAATTCGTCTATGAATGCGGTATAGCCATCTTTAAGTTCTGGATTCTGTTCCAGTCGTCGCTCGAGATAATTGAATCTGCGTTTTGCTTGTGCTAAACTGTCGCCAAGTTGACTATTGGGCTTGAAAGGCACCTGCACGGTGAATCGTCCATTTTGTAGTATGGTTGTTTCCTTAAAGTGAGATTCACATCGATCTTCTTCTTTTGTTGTCTTTTTGAAGTCAGAAATTTCTTCTAATTCCCAAAATTTCCTTAGACTATCGTCAATAGACACATGAAATGACTTGAAGAAGGTTGTTGGAGGACTGGGTGTTCTGCCGCTAATCATCCAACCAAATAGAGTGTCACGTGCATAAAGCTTGTCTGTAAGCTTAATCTTTCCGCAGCCAACAATGTCGTTGTAGACATCACAGCCTAGGATTATATCGATTTCCTTTGGTTTATCAAAGTCTGGGTCCGAGAGCTTAAGACGTGTGATATCCAAACTGTTCGGTATATTCACCCGTTCTCTGGGCAGGTTGCCAGAAAGTTTTTGAAGTGTGAAGGCTTCAATATGCAGAGATTGATTCTGAGAATCCTTTGTTTCCAGATTGACAGAACCAGATTTCACAGTTTTTGCTCCTCCGCCAACTCGAGTTAGTTGAAGAGTCAATTTCTTGATTGGTAGCTTGAGTCGGTTAGCACAGCTGGTTGTTACGAAACTGCATTCAGATCCGCTGTCCAGTAAGGCTCGACAATTGTGATAACCGCCATTTGCAGTTTTCACCTCAATTAGTACAGTTCCCAGTATGGTAGTGGCACCGGTAGTACCCCCGTGACCCGCAAACTTATTTTCAGGTCCCGGTTGCTTGTTTGGGTCTGTATGGATGTGAAGTAACGAGTGATGACCCTTTCGACAGGTTTGGCACGTTGACTTCGACTTGCACTCATGATTTTGGTGTCCAAGGGACAGGCAATTGAAACATAATCGCTTTGATTTGGCTTCTTGTCTTCTATTGGAAATAGACATTTCCTGAAATTTCGTGCATTGATACACGCGGTGATCACCACTGCAGCATGGGCAGATGATCGTCTTAGCAGAGTTCGTGTGGTATGTCTGTACCTTGTCATCTTTCTTAGAGTTTCCAGATTGGTCTGAATTTCCTTGATGATTTTTTCTATGAATTGAAGGTAACTGGAGGTCCTTCGTAGCTTCTAGGGCGCGAGATCGTTCCTCCAAGAACTTCTTCATCTGTTTGATTTTTGGCACGTCACTTCCCGCGCAGGAAAAATCCCATTGTCTTCTAGTTTCAGGATCTTATTTCTTGGCCAAAACGTGAACCCAGATCAAATCGCATTGATCAATTTTTAGTCCAAGTCCTGTCAGTGCCAACGTGTTTTCCGTGTAGGTGTTAATCAAGCGACGTATTGCAGCGGATGACTTATGCTTCATTGGAGTGAATTCAAAAATTGCTTCCAAGTGAGCGTGTGAGATCATCTTGACATCAGCATATCGATCCTTTAGAAGTTCCCTTGCGACTGAGTAGTTCGCGTTTGTAGTGGGCAAGTGGGATAGCAAACGAAACGGTTCATCCTTGAGGGCACCCTTTAGGTAATGCAGTTTCTGAACATCAGACAGCGATGCATTTGAGTGAACTGCTCCATCAAAGGAATCTAACAAAGGTAGCCATTGATCATACCTTCCGCTAAATGTTGGCGAATTCAGTTTCGGCAACTTCAGGCAAGTATCTTGGTTTCGGCCAGCACCACGTTGGGAAGTGGATTTGTAGGATCCAGTTCCGCTTGCGCTGTCGTCGTCTTTGACCGATTCAGTTGAATATTTTCCTCGGTCATCTAACATAGTTGTGATCATTTCCATCAAACAATCTACTTGAAGGTAGATTTTCTCAGCTTCTTCCAATTCAACTTCAAGTGCATCTTCATCATCGTTTAGAACATTTGAAATTTGCTGATTAAGCTCTTCCAGTTCCTTTTTCTTTCGTTCGCACATCGTGAGATTGGCCTTGAGAGTTCCTTGTAGGTTAGAGCAGATGCCTCTTTGTTGAAGATTGCTGAGACGGCATTTTCCGATCGGGTAATGACACCGATGTTAGCACTTCTTGATCGCTTCAAAGCAGGAAGAGTGAGCGTCACGTTGCTCATGTCACTAGCAGATGATGACATTTTTAACTTTCCTCTTTGTTTCTAATCTTTGGTTCGTTCGTGAGTCGCGTTGCACCAAAAAATGTTGTGCAGCAAAAGTTGGGAAACGAAAAATCACCAATCCGACTGAATAAAACTAGTGATTTGCAAAGAGTGTAAATTATTTTATGAGTTATAGATAGAAGTCAATTGATTTTTGTTAAATGCGGTTTTAAATAAGTAAATCAGTTCAATCGTAGATTTAGTTCAAGTAGAAAGCTGAGATGTCTTTTTTAGGCTTCAACAAAAGCAACATATCGATTATTCCCAAAAGATTACTTAGCCAAATATAAACTACCAACTTTCGTCAAAACCAACCCATACCCCCTTCCCTCTATAAATACCGGAAATCGATGCTATTGTAAATGCTTGTAAAAGAATTACTGGTAAACTACACGGATAATTTATTACCGGAAGAAAACTTATCCTGGGCACGTGCCCCTCCGCTATGTTCAACAGCTGCCTCAATAAATAGAGCCACTCTCAAGACATTTACAAAGCCAAAAAAGAGCTCATGAAAAATCATAATTATTCGAACAATTCGTCAACGAGAACGACACTTACACTTCCGACAATAGGTGTTGAAGAAATAAGATACTTTGACTTTCAATGGTCTTGTGGATGAAAGAATCTCTACGTCGCTCAAATCATTTTGTAGTTGTTTTCGAGAGTTTCAAGTTCGAAATTACGCTCAATCATGCAATTTTAATCCATAAGATATTTTACTCAACGGTTAGGGTCTATACAACATAGATTCAAATCTGACGAACAAAGAAGGATCAGCATTTACTTTGTTGCAATTTCTTACCGAAAAGTAAGTTTATTTTCTTTGGCTTCCACGGTAGGGTTCGATGTATCTGTAACTTCAAACGTGATAACGACCTGTTCTTTACTTTGAGCCCACATACACGGTACAGCAGCCATTTTAACACACCTGCAAAAATAACACAGCTAAATCAGACTATAAGCACCGCCTCTAACACATTTTTATGGCCGTGGACAGCGTCTACATCAGCTTTTTCGATTATAGCCTCCCGATATATTTTTAAAACAGACGAAAAAGAGCCGATCAAATGGAGGAATTACATGGTGTTTAATACTGGTCAACATTGAAAACGCATCATAGACTTGAAAATTTTAAAAATGTTTGTGAAATCGGTTGAAAATTTTTTTTCGGGTTACGTTTCTTCAAAACGAACACGTAACTCGACATGAGAAAAACTATAAGTTATGTATTACAAGTTTCGTTGTTTTGGTCAGTTGTATTTGTCAGTTTGTGACAATCGACCAGAATGGCCTGAATGAATTGCAGAAACGAATTTTCTTTTGGAGCAGTTTTGTGGGAGAATTGGCTGTTTCGAGGACGTAACAGTAATTGTTCAAATGAGCGAATTGGGAGATGTCGGTTTTGATTGAAATGTGAAAGTTGTGACATTCGACCAGAATGGCCAAAATGCAATTTATGCAGACTTCGAATTTTTAGCAGTAAGCCTTCCGGATTGATGATTATTAAGAATTAAGGACGTAATTGGAACGATTGGCCAAACGGTGAGGGCTAGAATATTCTGGTATTTTAAAATTTCAAAAATTCGAATTATGACGTCATATTTCTGAGAAACGTCAGAAACGGCCATTTTGACTAAAACGAGAAAGAAAAACAGAACAACATTAGCTGCGCTAGCAACAACAACGAAATTGAGATCGGAAAACGACAACGAGTTACAGAATAACAGAAGAACACTCCGAGTTGCAACTATTGTGCTGCTACAATAGTTGCAAGGCCGTTGCGAACAACGGTGAAGGGTGAAGGACGGCCTTCCGGATTAAGAGAAAATCAGTATTAGAGAGCTTGATCCAGCGGATTCATCAATCCGGAAGGGTAAAAGAACTGAAACTTTTATCCTGTTGCATAAACTTTTAGCTTCCTGTCATGTCCTGACTTGAATTTAATTAGTATTTGGATTCATTTTGATAAGGATGAGAAGCTAGGAGTAGGGGGAAAGGGTTGATCCATCTTCGATGGAGATGATGATTTTTATCTACTGAACAAAAACAATAGTAATATAATAAATAGTAGTAGCCCTGTTTTTAGGAGTGACCTTGTGGTCTGGGGATACTGAGACCCAGCCATGAGCTCACTATTTCTGCATGTAATCTAGTTAATTTGAGTGTTTTGACCGAAGCCGAAAGCAGTAACGTTTTTGTCGACCCGATGTTAGAAAAGACCACCGAAAAGTACTGGCTTGGTAGAGACGGTGAAAAGCATGCAAAGCTCTGTTTAGACGTTAGCCAGTCGTCTTAAGACTTAGTTTTGTTTTCCGTCGATATGTATCTTCCGGGCGATTGTTACATGTATGTTTTTATGGCGCTCCTGGGTGTTATTATTTTTAAACATCATGACCGGCAGAACCGTTAACGAGCACTCCGCGCCGATCGGATGCTCACATTAACGCCCTTAATAGTCCTAAGCCGCCGGGGCGGAAGGGTAGTTCGGAACGCGGAAGCCTTCCGGATTACCGTGAATAGTTTTTTAACTTAGTTAAGACCGAAAATTCACGAACCAGGAAGGGTGGGGGGATTCGCGGTCCCGTCATCTCCTGAATGGTTTTGTGACCAAAAACACTTAAAGATATAAATAAAACCAAACAAAAAGTTGTATAGTACCCAAGAAAAACAAAAAATATAAAAAATAACCGAAAAAACCAAAAACAGTAAAAAAGTAGAAAATCAGTAGAAATCATCCCCCCAGACAAGATGTGATCCGACCCCCCCGTTTGTTGTTGATAGATATATTGTTGTTAAAGGCATTTATATCAATCAGGATTGTTACGATCAGTTTTGTAGCCCGTTTGTGAGGCTTGTACTGTAGGGTTATTTGAGCATTTAAGCACGTTAATGATAAATTGCGCTCAATCCGGAGGGGTCAGCTGATTTGCGCTCAATTCGGAAGGGTCTTGGGAGAAGACTGATCCGGCAAGCAGTACAAGGAGCAACAAGAAGAGGCTCAACGACGACAACAATCGACTGTTGGGTATCGTTAACAAGTTTTGTATCCCTTTTGGTACAAAAATTAAGATAGTAATCTGTGGGGGGCTCGACAGTGCTGCACTGTAGTGACCCTTCACCGAACTGCGAATATCTGAGTTAAGCACCTTAATTCAGATATTAAACAAACCCGGAGGGGTATAGTATTACTAATATTATTACTTATATAGCCTATATGAATAGTCTTATATCGTTTTTCAGTCAAAAACAACGGAAACATACCGGTTTTTAGGGTCAAAATTGCGATATTTTGATCCTCCCACAAGTCGCGATTTTTGAGATATCGATATTTTTTGAAACGGAAAAAAGCACTAAGTTAGTGTGTTACATCGTAACTGCACTACCATAATAGATAGAACCGGTTAAGTTAAGTTCGAAGGTGGTTGGAACTATTTTGGTACCGAAAACTGAAATTTCGTGATTTTAGAGAAAACGGAACACTATAAATTTAGAAAATTTTTTGAAATTTTTGAGTTAGGACAGTAAAAATAGTTGTTCGGACAACGTCCACTAGTGAATCTACAAGTTTTAAAACCCGCTACCCGAAAGCCTTCCGGGTTGCAGAGAAATCGAACTTAACGTGTTTGATTTGGTGGATTCATCAATCCGGAGGAGTACAGGTAGCATAGTTTTTCGCAATTTTTTTCTACAAAAGCGTTTTAGATCGGGTCTTTTGAATTGAACTAGAAGATTATAGGCCTTCTGAGCTCGGATCAATAATTTTTAGGTCGAAAGGACCAGATTTGCGGAAAAAGTTAGGCGGAACCTATAAGAGAGAAAATTTTTGAGTTTGGAAAAAAGACGTTTTGATTAATAACTTTGGAACTACTGAGCATATCGAGTTGATCTTGGTACCAATAGATCAGAAATTAGCTGAGCTTACTGATAGGGTCAGAAATTTTTCGGAAAAATAAGCGTGAAAATTTTTTGAATTGTTTTTAGCAAATTCCTCAATTTGGAAGGGTAACCCTTCACGTTTTACAAAATTTTTTTAGAAGAGCCCTTATACCCCTACCAAAAGGTAATAGCGGTTGAATAAAGTAACTTTAGGCCGTTCTAGACGAAAAGGGAGGGCTAAAGGCACAGCAAAAGCTTAATCGAGCCGAAGTTAGGCGAGTAATAAGACCCTTCACCGTTAGTGTGAATTGTCAAATAGGAGGCTTAACTTCAATCCGGAAGTGTCTAGGAAGGCAGTACATACCCTTCCCAGTTAATTGAAAGAGCATAATTGCATCGGAGAACGTATCCGGAGGGGTATAGGTTGAAAAAAGGAAATCTCCGAAAAGCTACTTTTACAAAACCGGAGGGCTCCCAATCCGGAGGGGTCAAAGTTTTTTCAAGTTAGGAGGGGTCCGAATCCGGAGGGGTCTTATAGTTGCTAATTCGGAGGGGTCCAAATCCGGAGGGGTCTTGTATTAACCAACTCAGAGGGGTCCAAATCCGGAGGGGTCTAGATTCTATTAGTCCGGAAGGGTCCTATTTGTGCCAATCCGGAGGGGTATTATTTTATTAAGGACTTAGGTAGACGAAAGAAAAACTAAAAAGTGAGAGGTATTAGGTTATTAACACACAGGCTAGGTATCAGTGACTGCACTGGTAACTTGCCTTTCAATAAGAACCAGACTAAAACAAAACAGGTCCGAACTCGGATATTCGCGACACTAAGTCTAAATTAAAAAGAGCGTGATTCATTGGTGTGGATTGAAACATAATACGTTTTTGGGAAAAGTGACTGCCCTGAGGATTTTAGTAGGTCTAGCCCGGGCAGTCCGAAGGCAGCTAGGTAACACAGTACTCGGTGGGTGCAATAGACGCCCACTTGAGAAAATTACTGCCTTCAAAGTTTTGTCTGTTTGGTGCAGCACCGAGCAGGGAAAGCTTTTTCCTTAAAAGACAGGTTCGACTATTGTACTGCGACCGACTAAGAGTACAAGACACATACGTTTTTTTTATATATATACATTCATATTGTGTCAATATATTTTTTTTTGTTTTTTTTTTATTATAAATCAACGTAAACTGTGCTTGATTGGGTAGTGAATACACTATCTTTTAAATTGACTGATAAATTCATATTGTGCTAATTTACAAATCTTTGGACCGATAATCGGTTAGTGTGAATAAATTTTATACAAACTGTACTCTGATAACATACAGGGATTCGTGGTCACTATTTAAAAGAATCTGGTGAAATTTATTGTGTTGTGTCATTATTATTGTTAATAAAACTATAAGGTCTCTAGCAATTGAGTCAAGAGTAGGCATTAGAAAGTGACAAATAATTAATGAGTCTAGACAAGTCAAGGATACCAAAACGAGGTAATAGCTCTAGGAAATTCATACCTGAAGAGCAGAGAAAAACGATGACCGATCCTTTTGTGGATTGGATCAAGCGATCACGGTCTGATAAAAAGGGGACGGTTTCAGGCAGAATGGTTGAAACGAGAAGTCAGAAGACCTCAGAAGAGCGAAGAGAACTGTTAGAAGTGGAGGTCAATACAGACCATACCATGAATGATAACCAGGAAGTAAATGGACTGGAAGGGAGAGGCAGAAGGCTGGCGAGTGAATCTACCCCGGTAGAACAAGGCCATGATTTTGCCACTTCCACCGGGACATTGGATCGAGAAGAGATGTCGGAACTGTCCGACAGCTCTACTGAAGTAGCGGCAACTAGAAGATCTCCGACAGACAACTCTATGATGGCAAGCGGAACTGGGAAACAAACAACGTCATCATCGTTCTCAGAAAGAATGAAGAACACCTTCGGAAACATCTTTCCATTCAGCATGGGAGGAGGAGCAGGAAACGACGGTGAGTCCCAGGAGGAAGAGGATGAAGAGGAGCAAGGGGACTTTGGATCTCAAGTCAGTCTCAATAGTTCGTTCCAGGAGAGTGAGGCACACGTCGGAAGAG